GATCCGCATCCCCAGCGTCCCCTACATCTTCCTCCGGCTCCTCCTCATCCATATGCGCGAGCATCTCGTCGACTTCCGCGGCATGCTCCGCCTCCACCTCCCGCCGACGATGGCGTCTGGACACTGCCTCCGACTCCGGCCGGAGGGAATCGAGGATCGCCTGCTGCTCCGTCTGCAGATCCGCGTCCCTAGCGTCCCCCACATTCTCCTTCTGCTCGTCCTCCTCCGACTCCTCAATCTCATCCTCCCCCAAGTCCTCTTCTGGATCCACCATGTCTGAAGGTAGCCCCGCGGTGATCCGGGCTTCGCGCCTTGCCGGGATTTTACTCAAGGAGCTATAGCTGGTGCTGCAGCGTGGCGACGTGACTATTAGTGGTGACGGACGGCGAGTGGAAAGTAGCGCCGATGGGAGGGGGAAAATATGGACGGATAGGGTTTCATGCCGACGGTTGGCTTAAATAGCCGGGGTAGGCACTACGCGGCCCGCCGGAGTGGCGCCACGTGGCGCCATCGGTCCGACGGAGGAGACGAGCTTTGGACCACTGGGTCTCAAAATGTTTTCCTGTGGGACCCCATTGTTAGTCCGACATGGCGGATGCACCCAGGTGCCCCATATCCGCCCCAGATTTGGGCTAGATATGAGGGGTGCCGGTCAGCTCGGGCGTTTGAGGCCCATTTAAAGAGCCCGTCTAGGTATCCTTTTTGTGACCGGACGACCGGTCCGTTCGCCCGGGCGTTTAAAGCGGGTTTAGGGCATCCGCCTATAGATGCTCTTAGAATGCTAAAGATAAAAATAAATCATGCTTGGATGTATGCATCATGTTATGCAGAATCCTCTTTTTTTAGAAAGAAGGAAACCACGCCACTGGAAAACTCAACATGTCAAAACGCTACGTCGCGATCCACTAAGTTTTCAGTGGTGTACTATTTTTATGCATATAATTTATATTTTATTAGTTAAATTTAAGATAAAATTTGACCTAAAATGTGAAGGACGCTAATAAACCTGAATTCTATCCGTAAAAGAGTCATCTTCACTAACTTATTTATTTCAACATTCAAGCATGTCCATCTCATCGTACAATTATGAATGGAATAAGTTCCGTCTCAATATGCAATTATGCATGGAAAAGACACACCATAACATTGAACCATGCATGGGAAAGTGTTTTTCTTATTTAATTGTTCTACTTAAATAAATATTGTTACAAATATACATTATCGAACATAATTAGTCATATGTATTTTAAATTTCAGTTCTCATGTTATCAACCTAAACTTTCATTAACTGATTTCCGCAACAGGGTATTCTCTAGTTTAGTTAATTCCTGGCGCATACCATTATCATTGATTAATTTTAACAACCAGTTTGTCAAGAGACTGGCATATCCTATTGCAAGGTCTTGGATGTCATGCACCTTGATCTGTGGGCATGTTGACACTTCAGACATTGTTATTTCCTTTTAATTATCGCTTTTGCAGTAGATTCTTTTGAAATAGGCTCTCGCGTTCCTTTATGGATAAAGAACAAACCAAAATACGCGGTTGAATGACACAAGGTAGTGAGAAAGCCTCCGTACAAAGCAGATCTCAGGATAAACGTACAACACAAATGTACGTCATTGCGTTTAGCACATGCAGGCATGAATACAATGCCACGACATGTCCTGGGATATCTAAGCTCCACATCAACGCCCTCAAGAGAGGAAGCATCGACCACTGTCAAGTCTGAGGCATACAAGGGTCTTCATCTGGAACCCTGCACGGAGAGGAGAATCACAATGAGGTCCTCAAGAGGAGAGCGGCACCCGCGAGTGTCACCGCCATAGGTGCCAAAGCATGGAGCTTTCTTTCGACAGCTCACCCGTGCCACCACAAGGCACCCAGGACACCTGTGACGAGCATAGACCTCCAGGTCTAGATGTTGCGACTGCAGGACCAGAGAGCGAGCCCGAGACACCCGCCACTACACCCCTTGCCACCCACACGGCCAAGAGGCATAATCACCACCGTCGTGATGGCCACCGAAGAGCCATCCAAGGCCACTGCCCCCGTCATCCAAGACTTGAGATGCCACCCTACCATCCACATCCCAGTTCACCAACCATGGTAGGAAGAGCAATAGGCACCTTCTTGCACTCCTAGCCCGACATCAGCCACCAAGTCGGCGTCCATGCCTCAACGGTGAGAAGCGTCCCCACCCATTCCTGGTGAACCGGTGGGAGCACTCCTCGGTGACCGCTGAAGACTTCCACTGAGCAAGCCCTGGCCATAGCCTACTAGCCTTGGCCCAGGCGAGCTCGGAAGTGCCATGCCCATAGCCATTAGCACTGATCCAAAAGACTGCACATCGGAGCCAGGACGCCTCGTGTCACTCGAGTGAGCACGCATGCCGCAACGCTGGAGTAGCATGCCCAAGCATGCTGGGATGCAAAGTCACACCGCCACCACAAAACCCGCCCGCTGCCCAGTGTCGCTCGCCATGCCCAATCTCGTCGCCGCACACCCACCCGCATGTGCTTCGGGACGCCGATGTTCGTCATCAAGCACCCGACCAAATCTAGGTTGAATCCCGGCCACCACCATGCTACCCTATCGCACCGGCGGCAAGCTCTGCACCGCTATGAGAACTACCACTATGACGCCATAGAGAATCCCAGAGCAACACCCTAGTAGGGCCACCACCGCCACCACCCTCCCGCCCAAGCGAGGACATCATGCCAGATCTGACGCGACACCACCTCTCCATGCGACCGACCCGAGCAGCCTCCGCAGCCTCGACGTCATCATCACCGCTTGGGAGGGGGGAGCCCCGCCGCTGATGTGTGTTAGGCTTTCACCAGCAGTGCCTTTTGTTGATACTGAGGGGGAGGGGGATAGGGAGTGAAGGTGGCCGGGCTGGTGGCTCGCCAGCCGCTGCTTGCGAAAGCGATGGGACGAGAGGTTTTCTTGAAGTCCAATCGTCTTTCTTAAACTAGGCTTTCACCCCGCTTTATATATAAAGCAACATAACAAAGTACACGTCTGAATGATACAATATGGTGGGGAGGCTCCCTTACAAAGCAGAACACAAGATACAACATAAACCTAGAATGAATCTAACACCTCGCCACGGCCCGGCAGTAGACTCCTGAGCTCCACGACAACGCCCCCAAGAGGGTGACAACACAAAGCGTCGCCGTTTCCGAGTCCGATTAGACAGAGGTTTCCATCTGTTACCCTGACACAAGGGTGAGCCCCACAATGACGTCTTTAGGAAGCAAGCGACACCCACAGGCGCCACCATCGCCGGCGCCAAAAATGCGAGCTTTCACTCGGACACTCGCCGCCACCACCAAGAGAAATCCCAATCACCACCTCGAGGGTCAATCCATCCCCACCAGGTCTAGGCAAAGCCAAAGCCTCTCGACACTACACCCCTTGCCGGAAAGCCACCCATGAAGCCCGCCATCCGAGACCACCGCCCCTGTTGCAAAACACCATACACCGCCTACTTCTCAGCGCAACCAACCACGGTAGGACAAGCAGAGATAACCCTCTAGTCCTATCCTGGCATCAACCACCGAGTTTGGATGAGCGCCTCCACCATAGGAGGTACTCACGCTCGAGTCCCTAGCCAATCCCGGTGTACTGGGAAGGACCCGACTCCGTGACTCCCGATGGCCGCCGCCGAGCTCGTCCATCGCAAACTCGAACGACGCCATGTCTGTGGTAATTGACACCGATCCGAGCGACGACGCACCAATGCTACGAACACCACCACAATCCACAATGCCTGCGGGAGGAGCAACGGACCCTCCGCGGGCACCACCCAGACCGGCCTACCCCATCTACCCGGAGCAGAACCTCGGACCCAAAGCTGACCTGTTCGAGCACGAGCCTCGGATCATCGCCACCCCCGCCACTCGAGCAACCCGTGTGCTGCCGATTCAGACCTAGGAGAAGACATGGCACTACCACCAACCGCATGCACCCCGCCACCGACCACAAAACATCACCGCCAGGGCAGTCACGACAGCACCGACGACTTGTGCAACCACCTACAGCCACCCCGCTGGACCTCCATGCCACCACACGAACGGCGGGCCACCATCAACTTGTCACCAATGTCCACTTCAACAGGTCGTCGGCCGCTGCTTCCTGCTAGACCTGGCAGCTCCAAATCCAGCGAGGACTTCTCAAGACAGCCATGCGCCGAGATGCGCCACGACAGCAGCCGACGCCCTCCAGATGGGCGCGCGCAAGAGCCACTAGCGCCCATGTCCGCTATCGGCCACCTGCGCACCACTGCCCGACCATGGACCCAGGGCGACGAGGACGTCCGCGCGGGCGCCGCTACGCACCCAAGGCACCCTGTGCAGCCACCGCCACACCATCGCGCACCCGAGCCGTCGTCCCAGCTGCGCGCACAGCCGCCGCCGCAGCCCCCGCTGACGACCCCATGTGGGGAGGAGTAGGGTCCTTGCCGCCGCCGCCGCCCAGGCTTTGCTCGGCAGCGCCCTCCGGCAACGGCAAGGAAGGAGGGGATGAGGGAGGAGAGGGAGACCGCGAGAGCTAGGGTTCGCCCAGCCGCCTCCAGCGGGAGCGACGGGGGCCGAGGGGGAAGCCCTCTAGCAGAACAGTCAATATGGTTGAAGTTCAAGTCCAACCGTCTTTGACGGGAGTTTCTAGTCCTGAAATAATCTATGTCGTTCTAGAATTCCTTTCAGGGTCTGAAATGGAAGAACTTTAATATCAATAACTTCCACCGAATATGAACTTCTCCACCCTCCGGTAAAAGTTACTAGTGTTTATAGTACGCCTCTCAAAATAAATTTTTAACTTGCCCCTCCCATCTTTTTTGCTGAAGCTCATGAGGAATTAGATCCCCTTCGAGAATGTTTCTACCATTCATGATGCCATTTGGGTTGGCAGAACCACGTATTCAACAACCTGATTAATTGTATTTCTTTCCACCTTAGTGAATATACTCAGAAACTCATGTTTAATCCACACATCATCTTTACATTTTGGGAAAATTTAATCACCTCAAAGTTTAGATTATACAGTGGTAGGTTAATGGTATGAAATGCATGGAACAAATCCATCAAGTTTTCTTTGATTACCTCCCAAAATACCCGGTAAAACTCTACTGAAAACCATCCAGTCCAAGTGTTTTATTACGTTCCATCAGAGGGATGGCCTACCTAGTCACTCTGTGCGTTCGGTTTATTCGGTTTGCATAATTTGGTTTATACGGTTTTCCGGTTTGTATGGTATTAATACTTTGGTTTATACGGTATGATATTAAAATATGGTTCGGTTTTGGTATATACCAAATTATTTTGGTATATTCGATATATACCATAATAACCAAAGTTGTCGCGAATTTGAAAATGACATACTATATTTTACAAACTTATAAATTCAAACAAATACTTTTTAATACAAATGGTATATAACTTTATATAAGTATATATGCATGCCTCAATTCATGCCTTGAAAGGTTATGGACGACGTGGTTAGCATTTTTGCAAGAGAAAAATTACTACGCTACAAGAAAAAATGGATGTTCTTTGCAGGAAATTTTACTCTTATACAAGAAAAATGACTACTTGTATCGTTGCTTGCCTCAAGAAATATATATATATACACACACACACATTTCAGTTTATTTGGTTAACCATTCGGTTTTTCGGTGTATACCATAAAAACCGAAATTCAAAATTGTATGAAAAGTTCATACCATATCGAAACCAGAAACCATAAAACCCGTGAATTTGGTTCGGTTTAGTTTATTTTCGGTATGGTTTTTCGGTTCGGTTTTAAAATGCACAGAGTGACTACCTAGCATCCTTTCCATGAAAGGATCCGTGAGGATTTCCTTTTCCGCTGCTAAGGAATATTTTTGGACGATTATATCTGTCACATGTGTGGCACGGAGGAGGCGCACCACAGGTCTCTAAAGAAAAAGACAGATTGCCACGTCACCGCATGCATGCATGTGGGAATCTTTTTGGATTTCTCCGTTTTAAAATGTTTTATCTCTTAAATGAAAAATCCAATTAAAATCAGTTTTCACCATTAAATCCGTCGCGACGAGATCTTCAAAACTAGATCTCATATCAATATGTTTTGATGGCTTTTTGTGGTTAAAAGTTGTCAGGTCTATTGCATATAAATTGCCATGGTGTTTACATTGAAGTTGTCATGATATGTTTCAACTACCTTTTCTTCTATGTTTAAAGTAAATTTTGACATATTATAAAAAGCAAATTAAGAAACTAAATTTGTCATGGTGAATTACTAAACTTTGCCATGATCCATGAAATAATTTTGACATGGTCCGTAATTAAAAAGAGATCTGCCATCAATTACTTTAAAAGCGCATGATCAATGACTTAAATTTTCCATGAACCATAAAATAAAATTGCCATGGTGAATTACTTAAATTTGCCATGATACATGCACTAAAATTTGACATGGGCCATTCAAAAAATAATTTTCATGGTCAAAATACTAGAATTGCCATGCTCAAAATACTAAAATTGTCATGATCTATAAACTAAAATTGCCATATAAACTAAATTTGCCATGTTGAATTACTAAAAATGACATGATCCATGAATTAAATTTGTCATGGTTAATTACTAAAAAAATCCATGATCAAAAAATTGTCATAAAAAGTAGTTGAAATACAATGGTAGCTTTAAATCTAGAATTAAAAACTAGATCAAACATGTCATGACAACTTTAGTGTAAACACTATGGCAACTTTAGTGTAAATATCATTGCAACTTTTGGCTAAAAAAAGTCATCAAAACATATAAATATTGGATCTAATTTTGAAGATCTCGTCGAGACAGATCTAATGGTAAAAATGGATTTCTAATCATATTTTGTATTTAGGGGATAAAATGTTTTTAAGCCTGAAAACCAAAAAGATTTCTGCCAATGTCATCTGTTTTGACATGGCAAAATGAATGGTAAAAGAGGCATTTAGGACATGTTGCTTCGTGCCACACGTGTGGCACTTATCATTTAGGATATTTGTTCCCGAAAGTTCTGGACATGCAGACAAATAAACCCTTATAATAGTTTGGTGATGTCCCCTAAAAAAATAGTTTGGTGATGTGCTCTTTGGATTGAGCCACACCCACTACCGGTTCATCATCCCTCCCTAATTGGATATATGTTATTTTCGATGCTTCCCATTTGTTGGGAATACCTGAGTGACCTCAAACCAAACGCAAAATGCATGAATATCACAATGCAGAAAAAGGAGGTTATTTTAGTCGAAAACACATTCCTGTGTGACATATTAATTTCCCCAAATGAGCCCAATCAAGTAATTCCCTACTATAGTATGACCCGAAAACTGAAACTAAAACATGCACGTGAAGCTTTCCCTTCTCCCAGGCCATAAGCAAAAACTACAAAGTAGTCATTCTTAATGACCATTGAAACAAGTATTTAAAACCTCCACAAGTCAATGATAAATTCCATAGGAATTAGAAAAATACTACCTCCATAGCAAAACACTAGCCATTTTTCCCTTCCCAAATACATACATACACAGACCAAAATTATATTCAAATGGAATTCATATTTATATTCAAATGTGCTTCTTGTGATTGTAATTTTGTAAGTATGAAACTATCAATGGAATATCTTATAAGAAACTTATTGTCAAAGTTCAAAATCAGAAAGTCAAAATACATGGTACCCAACATACACAACAAGCTAGAAACAGTCGTCGGATGAGACATAACAATAGATACAAATTCTTTCTATCAATTTGTTGAGGCACCATCCTTGCATTTTCCTGAAAAGGATAACTGGGCACATTTTGCAACAGAACAAGTACATTGTACTGATAATATTGCTAAGAGTTAGAATACCTCAGAAATTCAACTCCGACATTTTTGAGTGGGTGGTTAATATTTCAAGCCCTGTATCTCATATTGTGAACGCAATCACTTTCTAAGTTGTACTTCATGGATGAGCGTTATACAATATAACATAGGAAGATCCTCTATCCATACAAAGACCAAAATGGTTTTTTATTTAGTTAGGATTTTGTTGTGGCAACATTGTGGACTCAATCGGCTTAATCTCTCCATAGCATTACATTGTTACCCTTACCATTTTAATACATGTGCAGGTATGTAACAAACAGCATATGCTCTGCCTTCTGTGTTTGCTAATTGTATTTCCTTGCACATGAGTGTTGTGTCAAATATTCTTCTTGTAGCGTCACTTGGTTCTTGTAGCATCAAATATTCTAGGGAGCACAAAGGAAAGGTTGTATTAGAGTATGGATTAATAAAACAAGAAGGCGAAGGCCCAAAACTATGTTTTTCTTAACCTTTTTTGAATCATGAAAGAACCAGTTATGATGTTGAGTGCTGCGGATTATTATTTTCAAAACTATTATTTGACAAGTATTTGTTTTCCTTTTGCCCTTCTGAAGCTATTGAATTATTGAAGGATTACAAAGTTCAAGCCATCATTGGTCCCCAGAAATCATCTGAAGCTGTGTTCATATCCAATCTTGGAAATGTAACCCAAGTCCCCATAGTATCGTTCACAGCAACAAGCCCCTCTCTCACTTCTGATAGTATGCCATATTTTTTACGAGCAACATTAAATGACTCAGCTCAGGTGAAGAGCATTGCCTCACTTGTACAAGCATATGGATGGAGAGAAGTGGTGGCAGTATACGAAGACACTGACTATGGAAGAGACATTCTACCATACCTCATTTATGTACTTCAAGAAATTGATGTCCGTGTTCCATATCGCAGTGTCATCCCTTTGGCAGCAACAAGTGAAACCATTCTACAAGAACTCAATGGATTGATTGCAAGGCAAACAAGGGTGTTTATTGTTCATATGTCATCCACTATGACTACCCTTCTTTTTATGAAGGCAAAAGAGTTAGGGATGATGAACAAAGGGTTTGTGTGGATCATCACAAATGGAGTGGCAAACATCATCGACTCACTCAATCCAAGTGTCCTTCAGGCAATGAATGGTGTGCTAGGAGTAAGGTATTATGTTCCTAGATCACAAGAACTTGATGACTTATCCATAAGGTGGAATAGAATGTACCAACAGGATAACCCAGATGCATCACCATTTAATAAACTAAACATTGTTGGTCTATGGGGCTATGATACGACATGGGTATTGGCACAGGCAGCAGAAAATGTTGGGATATCAAGTGCCAGAAATAAGCAACCATGGTACATTAAAAATTCTACATGTTTGGAATCCATGGATATTTCCATTAAGGGTCATAAACTATTAACATCAATTGTACAAAATAAGTTCAGAGGTTTAAGTGGTGACTTTGATCTTACAGACGGACGACAACTTAAAGTTTCTGTGTTCCAAATAATAAATGTGGTTGGGAGAGGTTGGAGAGAAATTGGGTTTTGGAATGTGAAAAGTGGACTTTCACGGGAGTTAAAGCAAGATTACTTCAAAAAGACAGGACCAGCTTCAATGCCTGATCTAAATCCTGTAATTTGGCCGGGAGAGTCGACCGAAAAACCAATGGGCTGGGAAATTCCTACAGGTGGTAAGAAGCTTAGAGTAGGTGTGTACTCAAGCGAAAATCCGGAGTTTATAAAGACATACAAAGATCCTGTCACTAAGGCAACAACAGCAAGTGGCCTTTCAGTTGACATATTTGAGGAGGCAGTAAAGAGGCTACCTTTTCCAGTTTCATATGACTACATAGAATTTGACACAGGTGATACAGCAACTTCGGGGAGCTACAATGATTTTGTTTATCAAGTCTATCTTCAGGTAAGAAATACTTCATAAAAGGAAATTTCTCTGCCATGTGCAGAAACTAGAAATTGCTTACATTTCACTGTTAAGAAAAAACTCTAGTAGCTTAACATTTCACCATGTACTATGAATGCTATTCCTCATCTCCGTACAACGTTTTGTTCTGCTTTCAGACTGCAATTATTTCATTTCGTATACATTTAAAAAAAACACAAAATGATGCCAACCAGAGAAGATCTATTTTTTTCTCAAATCAAACCAAAAGGCTATTGCTTGCTGAAATATTTTTCTTTGATAACCAACTGAGCTTATATTGTTTAATAAATCTTATATGTATCTATGTTTTTTTCTCAAATAGATAGAGCTGACTAATGCCATTGCAGGAATACGACATAGCGGTTGCAGATACTACTATAAGATACAATAGAACATTGTATGTCGACTTCACTGTACCATACACAGAATCTGGAGTAGGGATGATTGTTCCGGTCAAGGAAAACTTGAATATGGACATGTGGCTTTTCTTGAGACCATTAAGCACTGCGATGTGGTTTGGTAGCATCATATTCTTTATGTACACAGGATTTGTTGTCTGGCTTCTAGAGTATCTAAAGGACAATGAACATGATCCCTTTTCACTCGAACAACTGGCGATTACAATATTCTCCATTTTTGAAGAGAGTTGAGTAAACATTCCAGTTTCTTAGATATTTGTAAATGTTGAGCGGCATTTCAGTTGCATAGACAGAGCATATGTTGCACTATATCAAAATAAGAAGAAGCATTGAAAGATTCATGTGTCAAAGATTACTACATTGATCTGACTAAGCATCTCTAGGCAGTAGAGTCTGTTGTAGTTTTTTTTTCTGCAAAAATTCCACAAAGAATAACTTGGATCTATCTAGTTAGTAATGCATAACAAACGCAGTATGAAGAATCAAAGGGAGGAAATGGACTAATCCCATTTTCTATCTTCTGCAAAAAAAAATAAGCAATGCGTCTGTTCTTAATTGCACTTCACTACAGAGAAAATCTATCTTGGCATCTGACGTTATCCTCTGTTTTAATCAGTTAAAAACTGATGGTATGATTTGCATTTATTATCATATAAAGAAATTGATATCCTGTGCCTGGTATTCTTCTATTCCCCGAGGGGCGTATCAATCGCGTGCATTGCAGAGCTTTGAAATTTCATTGGTGTCTTAATGAAATCTTGATCTTAATTTCTGCAGAGGAGGAGCTGAAACACTTTCTGGCTAGAATTGTTCTACGTGTATGGAGGGTTGTTCTTCTGGTACTTGCAGCAAGTTATACGGCAAGCTTTGCATCAATGCTTACTGTACAACAGCTTTCACCAACAGTGACTGATGTTCATGAACTACAGAAGAATGGAGAATACGTAGGGTTCCACCAAGGTTCCTTTGTAGAAGGCCTACTGTTGGGGATTGATTTTGATGCATCAAAGATCAGGGGCTATGCTACACCTGACGATTTCTATAGTGCTCTTTCCAATGGAAGCATTGCTGCACTTGTAGACGAAGTCCCATACATCAAACTTTTTCTCGCAAAGTACAACAAAGGTTACACGATGGTGGGGCCAATTTATAAGAGTGCAGGTTTTGCATTTGTAAGTTTTAACTAAACTCATTATTCTCTTGAAAAGTTTGCTAGTGATCCATGCAAATGATGTGCATATGTGTTTCCTTTAATTTTACGTACCATGACACCCTAAGATTGTAGTTCAAAAATTCAAACTTAAAATATATAAATATACGCTATGAAATGGCGTCCCGGTGGCATGATGCAATTTTATGACAAGAAATTTCTGCAACCTAGCTTCCGTAACAACGCTAGACAAGGAAATAAATAGCAAAATGAATAGAATACACTTTTAATAAATTTATCTACCATACACGACCACATATATACAAGAGGCTTGGAGAAACCATCACATAACAACATAGATCCACACATTTAGTGTCGAATCTTTAACATGAGCTAATATTTCCAATTAATCATATTGAGGCTCCGTTGCAATGGTTTATGATGAATAGCCTCTGATGGTTGGTTTACTTTTAGATATATAGGTGTGTGGCTATCTTTCTTTTTCTAAATCAAGTACATAGCATATTTGCATTTGAGAACATATGAGATCTCATGTGGAAGGCCAGCCATCGATAATACTTCATCTAACTCGAATTTGATTTACCAAACAGACCAATAGACTTTTGACAACCTTCTTATAACAACTTTAAAAATGACTACATACATCATAACGCTGCACAACCATCACAAACTAAGGCTGAAGTCTTTACTACTAGTTCTTCTGTGCTATTTAAGCAACTTTTGGCTTAATTCTCTGTAGGGTACCCTACTGCTAAATAATAAAAAATAATTCACATTGACCATACATATGCTATTATATATAAGGAAAATAATAATCTTTTTTCATGCTATTATAAGGTCAGATATTGTTAGTGGAACATTATGTGTTAGCACGTGCAGCTTATAACAATGGTCTCTCTGCCTATTAGGCGCTTCCCAAGAATTCTCCGCTACGTGCTGAATTATCGAGGGCAATACTCAACATAACAGGAGGAGAGACCATCATTCAATTTGAAAAGAAATGGATAGGTCAAAATAGCCATGAAAATGATGGCACACTTGATGGTTCAGGCGCTATCACTTTTGAAAGTTTTGGGGGATTATTCCTCCTAACTGGAATTGTGACAACATGTTCCCCTCTTGTAGCCGTGCTGATGAGGCGCTACAAAAAACAACAAGAAAATGCAGAGAACAAAGGAGATGGCCAGAATGAATCTGGACCTGGGCAGGAAAAGGAGAAGATGGAAGAGCAAGGAGATCAAAACAGCAATGGACAGGGACTTGAATTGATGAAGAGCCAAACAACATTGTCAATGAATGCATGCACACACCCAAGATAAGAAGACCTCATTACCAACTCGTTCGTGCGCAAATCATTCATAGGTTACTCAAGTTAAAACGAACAACTGCGGGGAAACCGACCAGCTAGGCTGGACTTGGGTTCGTATAATTTGCTATGCATGCAGAATCAAGTAAATTTGCTTCAGCCTTTCAGGCATCGCTCGGCCGACAGAGCAGCTGAAAAGGCTTAGGCTATGTTTGATAGTAAAGCATTGTACTATGTACAAATCAAAGTATCAAAAAACTACAATAATTTAGTCTGACAGTTATAAAATACCGTGGTCTTTGACAAACAACAGAGTATGGTGTGAGGGCCTTTATCCCTTGCAGGCGTTGCTGTGAATGAAATCAATTTAGTCGTAGGTGTTACTTTCATCTCTTTTGCAATGGTTGGTTAGTGGTTGTCTTTGTTCTATGCTCTGCATATAATAATCAAAAACGAATTCTTGTCTAAGCCACACTGGCTGCATCAGTCCCAGCACACGGATGGCTGTCTTAAGCCAGGCCATGGGGTCCCAGAAATCTCAGGATAACTAACATAGACTGTTGTTGCAAAATCACATTACAATCAAGTAACCTTGATACATTGATACCACCCTGTAAACAAACACTTGGCAGTATACCTATAACCGCGGAAGAACACATGGCTCTGTACTTACAAAGGGGCGAAACCCGACGGATGTTCTTTTTTCAAGTAGCATGGCATGGATCAGAGTTCCATTTCAGTGTGTGTACATGGCAGGGCAGGGCCAGGGATGGAGCAGTGACTACTACTAAAAGGTCCTAGAGTATTTCTTGATCTCGTACAGGATGGAGGATATGGAGACCAGGTCCTTGTTGAGGGCAGAGCCACCATTGACCCTCTTGACGCACTCGGTCAGCCTCGTGTAGTACAGGAGCAGCTGCGTGAGGGCCGCTTTCAGGATGTTAGAATAAACCCGAGGCACTTCGTCCATCATCCGAGGACCAAGCAATCACACGAGCACGACACCGAGATTTGTTAACGAGGTTCACCGATGTGGCTAATTCCCGGGGCCTGACTATGGGCGCTCCTCCCCATGACACCGTCACAATACCGCACACCGGCCACCCGGGCGCCGGCACACGCCGCCGGCTCCCCCTTGCGTGTCTGTGCTATTATGTTGGCATAGGTTACATCGTGTGTCTACCCTCACTATATATGAGAGGCCTAGGATACAAGTGTTCTACTAGGACACGACTCCATATCCTATCTAAACACAATACAACTACAAGTCCAACTGTAACCTACCTCGTACACTATATTCGACACAACTCCAACAAACTCCACCTTGACGAATATACTTCACCATCCTGGATTTGTCCATGCGTCAAACTTCCATGTACATTGAACTTGAGCTTATCCCATGAGTACCGCTGCTACTCCAAAGACTCCATGTGACTCCACCTGCAACTTGTAGTCCCTTCTTTTCTTGACCACAGTCAACACTCGAGCAAAATTAAGTTCATTATTACTCTAGCTTGTGCTCCCAACTTCCAGAGTATCCGTTCAATGCCATCACACACCGATCACTGACCTGCATGAAAGTGAACAACTCATAATATTGGGTGTCACACATAAGAGTTACCTGAACTCAACATCACCACTCCTTTCTTGACTGTCTGTCTGAAACTTGAAGGAATTTCACCGTTGCTTGTAATCATCCCGAGTCAAATTCGCAGTTGTCTCACCACATGTATGACCACCAGAGCCCTGGCCCGTCTCCATGTCCCGTGCATACCGCACGCCTCGCCGCTATTACCGCGTCGAGCCTCCGTTGTCCCGGTCGAGTCTCAAGGGTCGTGAAACCACACCACTCAACCCCCACTGCAGAGTACCACCGATCATCACCGACCGATTATGAGTTTCACGCTTCCATCAGACCACTGGGCTCCAGTCCGAACTGCATGTCACTCGCTTTTCCCGCTGAATAGGCTTCGAGTCTTTGACGTCTTACGCCGTAGCCCCTCAATCAGCATTGAGTGAAGTCCTCCAGACTCCAGCTCCACCTTCAACATGACTCCATGGTAGATGATCAGTCCACCCTCACGCCCCGTCGACTTCAAGATCACATGCGTACGCCATCTTGAATCAACCCCACGCCATAGTCTTGTCGAAGCCGCACAAGCACTCGGGCCTGTGCCACGTGTTTCCACGCCCCAGAAGTCGGTCACCATAAGCATCACGCACCTATGGCATCGCTGATCCCACCACCGTCTTCTGTACCAACCGACATCCATGTCGATCCGTCAAACTGTCTTGTCTGACCCAGGCTCCCAGATCATCTTCCGTGAATTTCCATCCATCACATGATAATTCCATCTTAGCTAGCTTGGCTTCCTGCAACAACGCCTTCAAGCATCCCTGTTGTGCCAACAAATCTTTCACCCTTGTCTGCCATAACCCAAAGCTTCCAGTTCCGTTGAACTTTTCCACCTCAAACCTGGTACCCGATGGCGCCATGATTCTTTGTATGGCTGACCCTGCGAAAAATTATCTGACCTATCCCCGCGACGCCGAAGTACACTAGCAAAAACCCACGTGGTCTCGCCTCCGTGCACTAGTAGCAATCCGCCAAAAAAAATTGCTCTGATACCACTTGTTAGAATAAACCCGAGGCACTTCGTCGATCATCCGAGGACCAAGCAATCACACGAGCACGACACCGAGATTTGTTAACGAGGTTCACCGATATGGCTAATCCCCGGGGCCTGACTATGGGTGCTCCTCCCCATGACACCGTCACAATACCGCACACCGGCCACCCGGGCGCCGGCACACGCCGCCGGCTCCCCCTTGCGTGCCTGTGCTATTATGTTGGCATAGGTTACATCGTGTGTCTACCCTCGCTATATATGAGAGGCCTAGGATACAAGTATCCTACTAGGACACGACTCCATATCCTATCTAAACACAATACAACTACGAGTCCAACTGTAACCTACCTCGTACACTATATTCGACACAACTCCAACACAGGATCTCCATCTCGAAGTTGCTAAAGGATGTGACGACATCCTTGCGCATCCGCTCGATCGCGGCCTTCCGTCGGCTCGCGAAATCCTTCACTAACGGCTCCACGTCACCAATGCTGGCCCTTATCTGTGTTGGGCTAATAAGCCGTGGCGACGGGTCGGACGCGTCCGACACGTGTATGGGCGCGCGCTGGGTTCGTTGGACGCGTCGGGACCGCGGCGGGGTAGCGTGTGTATAAAGCCGCGTAGTGGACGTAGTAACAGCCTATGGAGTGAGCTCGAGTTCGTACTCGAGGGAAAACAAGCCGTCTGTGCGGCAGGCGTTCGTGCGCCGGAACTCCACCGTGTCCCCCTTCACCTCGTGTCTTCTTCTTCCTCGCTTCGGTTCGGCCTAGGGCGAAGTGAGAGAGAGAGAGAGCTAGGGTAGAGGGAGAGCTAGGGCAAGGTTTGCAACAACGGTCCGAACTCGAGGCGAAATCCTTCACCGACGGCTCACAAAATCACTTGTTTAAGGCTAGTCATAATGGAGTAACTTAGATTAGTAACATCCATATGTTTTTTTCGCGAATACGCAAAGCTTGCGTATCTTCCATTGATAGAAGGAGTTGAAATGAGAATACAGAGGGGGTACATCGGATGACACAACCAATAATGATGTGAACATGGTGCCCAAGCAGAGAGACATGTGATGCTCAGCCTAAACAGGAGCTACAACACAACACTAAACTACCCAGACCAACAAAAACAACCCAACACTCGGAATCTAGTACCAGACACGGCATAAGCCAGCAAGATGATGCCTTCATGAAGGGGAAAGATGCCGTGACGCCGCCGTTGTCCGATCCACGGAACTGGATCTGGGGTTTCCCCCGACGCTCGAAGAGGGGCTCGGAGAATAAGCCATGGCAGCGCCTCCAGGAATGGTACATACGGCACCCGCAGGTGTCGCCGCTGCCAGCATCAAGCAGGGATTTCGCCCTGGCCAATGTCCGAACAATCCCAAAGCTATCGCGACTAAATCCGAAGACAGGAACATGTCGTAAGCTGGAGTCGCCATCGCCCGAATGGGAGCTTTGCCACCGGAATCGCAAGCATTGGACCTGGCGGGGGTGGGGCGAGGCAAGGGGTGGCGGTCAAGGTCGGAGAGGCGACGACATGGTGAAGAGGAACCAACACACGGGATGCAACGGCAACCAGCATGTCGACGAGCCAGGATCCGGAGAACGCTGACCTGGATCGACGAAGCCGGAGCCGCCAAACCACCGACGAACCCAGGAAGCCGGAAAGAGCGCAACCTCCAGAGAACCGGGGCCAAAACCGCTACTGGAGGAACTCCAGCGAGCTGGACCTGGAAAATGCAAGTTCGAAGCCAACCGGGACCGCAACGGCAAGGGTGAATTCCACCATGTGCAGGCCGCCGCATCGAAGATGAGAAGAACCACACCACCCCGAGCAGAATGGCTGCAGCCCCCGGTGGATCCAGAACGGGGCCACCTGCAGCACCAACGACGGAGAATCCAACAGCGGTAGGCGCACCGCGCATGGCCATGACTGGTCCGTGTGCAGGCGGCAAAGAAGAGGGCGCCCACGCATGGCCAGCGCGCCATGCATGCACCCGCAGAATGTCGCGCCCCCCAGGCTAGATCCGTCGAGCACGCACTAGTAGACAGGAAGAGGATGCCGTCGAGGACGGTATAGCCAGTCGGAGAAGGGTGGCGCCGCCGCGGTACCGCGCTGCGCCGACTGGAGGCCAGGCCTCGCCTGACGACGCTGCAGGAGGTAGGAACGCCCCGCCGCCACCCTCCTTGGGCACGCACGGACTTCGTCGGTGTCCCCTCCGGCGGCGGTGAAGCTCAGGGGTGTGGATCTAGGGTGCAACCGGCGGCGCGGGGGAAGGAGGGTCTTCATTTATTACTTTGTAGACTCATTTTGTATTGGAAAGCGGTACGTAATGGTAACATATTATGTTACTTTATTTGCCTTCCTCGTTATTAACTATTCCCTC